CTGCGCTCTGCGCCCTGCGCTCTGCGCCCTGCGCTCTGCGCCCTGCGCTCTGCGCCCTGCGCTCTGCGCCCTGCGCTCTGCGCCCTGCGCTCTGCGCCCTGCGCTCTGCGCCCTGCGCTCTGCGCCCTGCGCTCTGCGCCCTGCGCTCTGCGCCCTGCGCTCTGCGCCATGCATGCTCTGCGCCCTATGCTCTGCGCCCTATGCTCTGCGCCCTATGCTCTGCGCCCTATGCTCTGCGCCCTATGCTCTGCGCCCTATGCTCTGCGCCCTATGCTCTGCGCCCTATGCTCTGCGCCCTATGCTCTGCGCCCTATGCTCTGCGCCCTATGCTCTGCGCCCTATGCTCTGCGCCCTATGCTCTGCGCCCTATGCTCTGCGCCCTATGCTCTGCGCCCTATGCTCTGCGCCCTATGCTCTGCGCCCTATGCTCTGCGCCCTATGCTCTGCGCCCTATGCTCTGCGCCCTATGCTCTGCGCCCTATGCTCTGCGCCCTATGCTCTGCGCCCTATGCTCTGCGCCCTATGCTCTGCGCCCTATGCTCTGCGCCCTATGCTCTGCGCCCTATGCTCTGCGCCCTATGCTCTGCGCCCTATGCTCTGCGCCCTATGCTCTGCGCCCTATGCTCTGCGCCCTATGCTCTGCGCCCTATGCTCTGCGCCCTATGCTCTGCGCCCTATGCTCTGCGCCCTATGCTCTGCGCCCTATGCTCTGCGCCCTATGCTCTGCGCCCTATGCTCTGCGCCCTATGCTCTGCGCCCTATGCTCTGCGCCCTATGCTCTGCGCCCTATGCTCTGCGCCCTATGCTCTGCGCCCTATGCTCTGCGCCCTATGCTCTGCGCCCTATGCTCTGCGCCCTATGCTCTGCGCCCTATGCTCTGCGCCCTATGCTCTGCGCCCTATGCTCTGCGCCCTATGCTCTGCGCCCTATGCTCTGCGCCCTATGCTCTGCGCCCTATGCTCTGCGCCCTATGCTCTGCGCCCTATGCTCTGCGCCCTATGCTCTGCGCCCTATGCTCTGCGCCCTATGCTCTGCGCCCTATGCTCTGCGCCCTATGCTCTGCGCCCTATGCTCTGCGCCCTATGCTCTGCGCCCTATGCTCTGCGCCCTATGCTCTGCGCCCTATGCTCTGCGCCCTATGCTCTGCGCCCTATGCTCTGCGCCCTATGCTCTGCGCCCTATGCTCTGCGCCCTATGCTCTGCGCCCTATGCTCTGCGCCCTATGCTCTGCGCCCTATGCTCTGCGCCCTATGCTCTGCGCCCTATGCTCTGCGCCCTATGCTCTGCGCCCTATGCTCTGCGCCCTATGCTCTGCGCCCTATGCTCTGCGCCCTATGCTCTGCGCCCTATGCTCTGCGCCCTATGCTCTGCGCCCTATGCTCTGCGCCCTATGCTCTGCGCCCTATGCTCTGCGCCCTATGCTCTGCGCCCTATGCTCTGCGCCCTATGCTCTGCGCCCTATGCTCTGCGCCCTATGCTCTGCGCCCTATGCTCTGCGCCCTATGCTCTGCGCCCTATGCTCTGCGCCCTATGCTCTGCGCCCTATGCTCTGCGCCCTATGCTCTGCGCCCTATGCTCTGCGCCCTATGCTCTGCGCCCTATGCTCTGCGCCCTATGCTCTGCGCCCTATGCTCTGCGCCCTATGCTCTGCGCCCTATGCTCTGCGCCCTATGCTCTGCGCCCTATGCTCTGCGCCCTATGCTCTGCGCCCTATGCTCTGCGCCCTATGCTCTGCGCCCTATGCTCTGCGCCCTATGCTCTGCGCCCTATGCTCTGCGCCCTATGCTCTGCGCCCTATGCTCTGCGCCCTATGCTCTGCGCCCTATGCTCTGCGCCCTATGCTCTGCGCCCTATGCTCTGCGCCCTATGCTCTGCGCCCTATGCTCTGCGCCCTATGCTCTGCGCCCTATGCTCTGCGCCCTATGCTCTGCGCCCTATGCTCTGCGCCCTATGCTCTGCGCCCTATGCTCTGCGCCCTATGCTCTGCGCCCTATGCTCTGCGCCCTATGCTCTGCGCCCTATGCTCTGCGCCCTATGCTCTGCGCCCTATGCTCTGCGCCCTATGCTCTGCGCCCTATGCTCTGCGCCCTATGCTCTGCGCCCTATGCTCTGCGCCCTATGCTCTGCGCCCTATGCTCTGCGCCCTATGCTCTGCGCCCTATGCTCTGCGCCCTATGCTCTGCGCCCTATGCTCTGCGCCCTATGCTCTGCGCCCTATGCTCTGCGCCCTATGCTCTGCGCCCTATGCTCTGCGCCCTATGCTCTGCGCCCTATGCTCTGCGCCCTATGCTCTGCGCCCTATGCTCTGCGCCCTATGCTCTGCGGCCCTATGCTCTGCGCCCTATGCTCTGCGCCCTATGCTCTGCGCCCTATGCTCTGCGCCCTATGCTCTGCGCCCTATGCTCTGCGCCCTATGCTCTGCGCCCTATGCTCTGCGCCCTATGCTCTGCGCCCTATGCTCTGCGCCCTATGCTCTGCGCCCTATGCCTCTGCTCTGCGCCCTATGCTCTGCGCCCTATGCTCTGCGCCCTATGCTCTGCGCCCTATGCTCCTGCGCCCTATGCTCTGCGCCCTATGCTCTGCGCCCTATGCTCTGCGCCCTATGCTCTGCGCCCTATGCTCTGCGCCCTATGCTCTGCGCCCTATGCTCTGCGCCCTATGCTCTGCGCCCTATGCTCTGCGCCCTATGCTCTGCGCCCTATGCTCTGCGCCCTATGCTCTGCGCCCTATGCTCTGCGCCCTATGCTCTGCGCCCTATGCTCTGCGCCCTATGCTCTGCGCCCTATGCTCTGCGCCCTATGCTCTGCGCCCTATGCTCTGCGCCCTATGCTCTGCGCCCTATGCTCTGCGCCCTATGCTCTGCGCCCTATGGCTCTGCCGCCCTATGCTCTGCGCCCTATGCTCTGCGCCCTATGCTCTGCGCCCTATGCTCTGCGCCCTATGCTCTGCGCCCTATGCTCTGCGCCCTATGCTCTGCGCCCTATGCTCTGCGCCCTATGCTCTGCGCCCTATGCTCTGCGCCCTATGCTCTGCGCCCTATGCTCTGCGCCCTATGCTCTGCGCCCTATGCTCTGCGCCCTATGCTCTGCGCCCTATGCTCTGCGCCCTATGCTCTGCGCCCTATGCTCTGCGCCCTATGCTCTGCGCCCTATGCTCTGCGCCCTATGCTCTGCGCCCTATGCTCTGCGCCCTATGCTCTGCGCCCTATGCTCTGCGCCCTATGCTCTGCGCCCTATGCTCTGCGCCCTATGCTCTGCGCCCTATGCTCTGCGCCCTATGCTCTGCGCCCTATGCTCTGCGCCCTATGCTCTGCGCCCTATGCTCTGCGCCCTATGCTCTGCGCCCTATGCTCTGCGCCCTATGCTCTGCGCCCTATGCTCTGCGCCCTATGCTCTGCGCCCTATGCTCTGCGCCCCTATGCTCCTGCGCCCTATGCTCTGCGCCCTATGCTCTGCGCCCTATGCTCTGCGCCCTATGCTCTGCGCCCTATGCTCTGCGCCCTATGCTCTGCGCCCTATGCTCTGCGCCCTATGCTCTGCGCCCTATGCTCTGCGCCCTATGCTCTGCGCCCTATGCTCTGCGCCCTATGCTCTGCGCCCTATGCTCTGCGCCCTATGCTCTGCGCCCTATGCTCTGCGCCCTATGCTCTGCGCCCTATGCTCTGCGCCCTATGCTCTGCGCCCTATGCTCTGCGCCCTATGCTCTGCGCCCTATGCTCTGCGCCCTATGCTCTGCGCCCTATGCTCTGCGCCCTATGCTCTGCGCCCTATGCTCTGCGCCCTATGCTCTGCGCCCTATGCTCTGGTTCCTATTCCCCTTCTCGCCAAACCTCCACCCGCCCCCGCCCCTTTCCAACCCCTACCCCTCATGGTTGTCCCCTTCCTCCCTTTCCCCCACCCGTTTTCTTCCTCCCGCATGAGGCAGGGAGGGAGGGCAGGACAAAGGAATTCGAGGGGGGAGTGTCGTCCACTGCGGCATGTCTCAACCTCTCATGTGTGTCCCGCCCCTCCCCCTCTCCCCCTCCCCCCCTCCTCCTTCCTTTCTCTCTGCCAGCCGCACCATTCCCCTGTTCCTCCTCGCAGGGGGGGTGGCGCACAACATAGCGGAGTGCATGGCAGCACTCTCCGCCGCGCCCTTCCTCATCTCCGCCATGGGGGATGACGCTGCAGGCAGGTCGCAATGCTGCTCTGCTCTGCTCCCCATGCCACTCCCCTCCTCCTCTCCTGCTCCCCTCCAGCCTGCCACTCCCGTCCCTCAAGTCCACCCCCCCCCCTCTCTCACGGCCCTCTAGGCCCATGGCCCACCCTTTCTTCCCCTCATCCGTGCTTCCCCACATTTCCCTCCCTGCTTCTCCTCAGTTCCCCCCTTGCTTCCCCTCATTTCCCTCCCTCTTCTTACGGTACTTCCTTCTTTCCCTCTCAGCCCTGCTTCCCTCTTCCCCCTCTTCCCTATCTCCCCTGTTTGACTTTAGTCTTGTTCCCCCTCCCCATCCCTCGTATTCCCTCCCTCTCCCTGGGTAGTGCAGTGACACCAATGAAGATTTTCTGGCACAGCAACTCGCCGAAGCCCATCATCCCATGCCACGCTCGTAGTGAAACCAGTTCCCTTCATGTTTTTTTCAAGGCCTTGAGAAGGGTACAATCAAAAGTATCAGGATCATCCCTCTATCTACCCTTCTGACACTCTTAGAGCGTGTTCCTACACCTCGTATCAGAAACACCTCGTATCAGCTTCGCGTGGTGAAATACGTTTCACTGTGTTCGACTGCGGTTGGATGCGTTTAAGTGCGGTTCGACGCGAATCTGATACGAGGTTGCCTGATATGAGGCCGTAGGAACACGCTCTTAGTGCCCATGCATCTTGGAAGAATATATTGCATTGCAGAAACAAAATTAAATATTGTGCTTTTGAGATGGATATCTCCAACAGTAATAAAGTATCATGCTTGCATACAACACACAAGAAACAGGTGGTGGTACAGTGTAACGCATGGACTAGCTCTAGCTGCGCCTCAGCTTGCTCCTCTGCTTCACCACTGAAAATTTGGGGAGTGGAGTAGGCAGAAAGAATTGTGTGACGGAACATGGGGGAGGTGGTGTGAGGTGCCAAGGGAACAACTGCAGGGGAACACAAGCAAGCGCACATGATGAAAGCATGTACTGGTATGGGGAGACAGTGGTGGGTGCACATGCATGGGAACTAGAGGGCGGAAGGTGAGGGGGAAGGGGAGGGCATGACATGAAAGGGAAGGGTTGAGAAGGGATGGAGAAGGGAAGGGCAGGGCAGGGAGGGAAAGGCGGGGATGGGGAGGGCAGGTGGGAACAGGGGAGAGGGTGAGGGGAAGGAGGGCTGAGGGTGGCGGGAAGGAGAGTGCGAGTGCGAGAGGACGGAGAGAGAGAGAGTGCGAGAGGACTGAGAGAGTGAGTGCGGGAGGAAGGAGAATGAGAGTGATGGGAGGCAGCAGGGGAGGGGATGGGGGGAAGCAGGGAAGGGGATGGGGGGAAGCAGGGAAGGGGATGGGAGGAAGGAGGGAAGGGGATGGGAGGAAGGAGGGAAGGGGATGGGGGGAAGCAGGGCAGGGGATGGGGGGAAGCAGGGAAGGGGATGGGGGGAAGCAGGGAAGGGGATGGGGGGAAGCAGGGGAGGGGATGGGGTGAAGCAGGGGGAGGGATGGGAAGTAGCAGGGAAGGGGATGGGGGGAAGCAGGGAGGGGGATGGGGGGAAGCAGGGAGGGGGATGGGGGGAAGCAGGGGAGGGGATGGGGGGAAGCAGGGAAGGGGATGAGGGGAAGCAGGGAAGGGGATGGGGGGAAACAGGGAAGGGGATGGGGGGAAACAGGGAGGGGGATGGGGGGAAGCAGGGAAGGGATGGGGGGAAGCAGGGCAGGGGAAACGGGGTAAGAGGGGATATGATGGGGGGAAGCACGGCAGGGGATACGGGGAAACAGGGAAGAGGATGGGGGGAACGGGGGCAGATGCCGGGGAGAGAGTTGGGGGGAGGATGGTGGGGAGCAGAGAGGGGATCGAAACGCTGTTCGATTGTGGTGGCGGAAGCGACCACCTCTGTTCCTCCCCATCTGTTCCTCCCCATCTGTTCCTCCCCATCTGTTCCTCCCCATCTGTTCCTCCCCATCTGTTCCTCCCCATCTGTTCCTCCCCATCTGTTCCTCCCCATCTGTTCCTCCCCCTCTGTTCCTCCCCATCTGTTCCTCCCCATCTGTTCCTCCCCATCTGTTCCTCCCCATCTGTTCCTCCCCATCTGTTCCTCCCCATCTGTTCCTCCCCATCTGTTCCTCCCCATCTGTTCCTCCCCATCTGTTCCTCCCCATCTGTTCCTCCCCATCTGTTCCTTCCCCTCTGTTCCTCCCCATCTGTTCCTCCCCATCTGTTCCTCCCCATCTGTTCCTCCCCATCTGTTCCTCCCCATCTTTTCCTCCCCATCTGTTCCTCCCCATCTGTTCCTCCCCATCTGTTCCTCCCCATCTGTTCCTCCCCATCTGTTCCTCCCCATCTGTTCCTCCCCATATGTTCCTCCCCATCTGTTCCTCCCCATCTGTTCCTCCCCATCTGTTCCTCCCCATATGTTCCTCCCCATCTGTTCCTCCCCCTCTGTCCCACCCCTTCGGAAGGAATGAGGGAGGAAGGGCGGGCTGGAGATGGTGAGATGGGAAGAGCGGATGGAAACGCGGATGACGAGGGGAAGCGCGAGTGACTGGGAGGCAAGCCCGACGACGGGACGCGCGGGCGACGAGGGGAGGCGAGGGCGGCGAGGGTCGGCAAGGGTGATGAGGGGAAGCGCGAGCGACGAGAGGGAATGTGGGTGACTAAGGGAGGTGAGGGCGGCGAGGATCGGTGCGGGTCGACGAGGGTGATGAGGGGAGCGCGGGTGACGATCTGAAGCGCGGTATGTTTACTATCAGCAATTGCGACGAGGGGATGTGTGGTTGACGTGGGAAAGCGCGGGCGACTAGGGGAACATATGCGACCAGAGGGTCGGGGAGGGTGATGAGGGAAAGCGCGGGCGACGAGGAAAGCCGTCTGACGTGGGAAAGAGCGGCCGACGAGGAGGAACATGTGCGACTAACGGCTGAGTGCGTCACGCGAACCACTACGGCATTCGCGTGAGCGACCCGTGCCTAAAACGGTACGATCGTGACACGAGACTGAACCGCAGCAAGTGTGACAAGAGCCTGCGTGTGCGACGCGAGCTTGAATGCAAGACTCGAGTAACGCGAATCTCGTTTACTAACGTAAGTGCCGTGGGTGCCCGGGTTGTAACACGAGACTGGTGACGCGAGGGAGAGATCGGAGCGTGCACTGACTAAGATGGTTGAGGTGGACTTATATTTCTTTCCGCACAAAAAAAAAAACTATCAACGACTCGCTTTTGCCAACTAGCGCTAGTTTTTGCCTTGGAGCCTCCTAGCCTATGAGTACTACTTGGTAAGCAAGTTATGTGAGTGGTGAACAGTGCATATGGTTGGCGATCATCGCGTCAGTTCTGGTTTTGGGCACTCGGGTTCCGTTGTATTGGGATCGGTTTTGGGCACTCGGGTTCCGTTGTATTGGGATCACAATGGCAGATTTGTATTGGGATCAGACACGTGCAAATGGTTGGATGTGTCGCTTCTGATCAAGAACAGAAGCCTTGTGAAGAACTCATTACAATTGCATTTCAATGGATTAAATATATTCACTCTATTATATGTTTGACCAATTATACAGAGTCACATCACAGGACCCTTAGATGGAATCCTAGCGCACTGATTCGAATGCTTCCTGGTATGCAGGTAGCCATATGCATTTCCAGCTCCCAACCATCAAGCCCCTGGCTCAAGTACTTTTGCATGTGAGGACAGAGTGAAGGGAGGAGGGGAAAGGGAGAGGGAGAGTAGGAAGAATAGTGAGGGGGAGAGGGGGGGATGGAGGGAGGGAGGGAGGGAGGAAGGGAGTGAGGAAAGGGAGGAGGGATTGCAAGGGAGGGAGAGGAGTGGGAGAGGGGGAGGGGAAATGGGGGCTCAAGGGAGGAGGGACGTATGGAGCGAGGGAAGGGGTGGAGCGCGGTGAGGGAAGTAACGGGGAGTGAGGGGACAGATCAAACTCAATTATCACTCGGCTATTCCACTTTTCAACCATCACTCTAAAACCCGCGTCAGTAGGGACAAATATTCTACATCTGAGACGCTTCTACGTCCCAAAATCCTAAGATCTCCCTAACCCCCGATCCCACAGCCGTCATCTTTGCATGCCCTGGAATTTCCGCACGACCAATCCGCTGACATCAAGATATCGCTGCGCGCAGTTACTTAGGCAGGAAGACTCCGATCCGCTAAACTTGGTTCCCGGCGCGGCTGTGACGCACTTGTCCCAGCACACCTCCGTGAGCTTCGCCACCAGCTCATTGAGCATCGCCTTCTGCTTCTCCTGCTCCAGAAACTGCTGTAGCTCGAAGCTCGCCCGCTTCTGATCCGCGTCCATAATCGATGACGGAGTAAATCACAGAGAGGCGAACGATGCTAGATCGAACCGCAAAAGAGAAACCATAGGATGAACGCGTGGATGAACACGAAACGGATGCGGAATCTCGAGCGTGATTTCTTTACACAATTGTCTGGGGGCTTACGAAAGATCTGCTCAAGTGCACTCGCATTTCGAGATGGGACTCATTACAAGGTTTGTTCGCTTTTCGGAACGATTTGCTGAAGTCATGTGACTGCCGCAGTGCATTGTGACAATTACAAACTTTATTACAATACTTAGATTTGGAGTTTACTCATAAAGAAGCATTAACGAACTGCCTGGTAGCACTTATTCCCTGCCATACCTCCCTACGAATAGTTTCACCATTGCATGTGCGCACCAAGCTTCTCCATCGCTTTACTAGGTATCTCCAGTTCCCCAATTCTCTCTCCCCTTTTACCAAAGGCATAGCATCACCAGCACAACAATAAATCCTGAAAACGCTGAATTGGTTCCTGAAGATGCACCCTTTGTTTTAGCCACAGAGCCTGTGTTCGAACCTGTAAAACAAATGTTGAGTAATGGAAATACGATTGACATAATGACAGCAGGACATGACAGCAGGACGTTACCTGAAGGTTCTTGCGGTTCGTTGAGCGATCCAGGTACACCAATAGTCTTGTTGGTAGGTGATGGAGATGGTGCTGGAGCTGGGCTCATAGAGCTTGCTGGTGCTGGACTTGGTGCGGAAGATGGTGCGTGCGATGATGAATTTGCTGTAGACAAAGGTGCCGGAGCAGGTGCGGAAGGTGCTACCAATGAATTAGGTGATGACGAAGGGGCAGGTGCTGGTGCAGGAGACGAAGGCTTTGCTGAAGGCGATGGAGCTGATGCATCTGGTCCTTGGACAGGTGGTGCGGCCACCGGAGGCGGTGGATATATAGCGGTTAAGTTGATGGATGCCTGTGTATTTCAAGTTAGAATCTGAATAGAGGACTTTAATCGAGCGTTTCTTACATTCGCGAGTGGAGGCACAGCGTCGCACAAGAAGAACACGGATTTGTAGACGCTCTTAAAGTGCGCTTGCGCGAGTCTCATAGTGACGACATAGTAACTGCAATTGATTATCATGGGTCAATCAAGAGTATGCAAAATGCGTTGATATTCAAGAAAAGAAACTTACCAGTCGCTGATCTGAGAATCGTTTTCTGTCAGCATAATGGCAGCCTCGAGAATACTTTGACCACAGGCAGAAGTCGATGCTTGAGTCGAAGGATTGGAGCACTTCGCGTTATTGCATGAAGCTGACAATGATCGGTAGTTAACAACCGAACCGACATCTTCGTAGCTTGTTAGAGGACAAGTGCTTTCAGTAATGTTCTTCTCTGCAAGAGGGAACAGCCAATAACCGCTACAGAGGCCAAAGACATCCACCGTTACCCCTTTCTTCTGTATGACCGTGCGGAACATGTTACGACAAGCATTATTGTATGACGGACTCCCGACAATTTTCATAACGTCGGCAGATCCGTTATTGTAGCTTGCAGACAGAATGATAATTTCCATCTTCCGAAGCGACTGACAGCAGGATTCAGGGTTCTTAACCAAGCCTTTACAAGGAGACACATCGCTCCTCATGACGCCTTTGAAGTTTGCGGGACATACTGTTCGCTGACCAGCAACAGCTGCAAAATAAAGGCAATGTCAGAGACCTTGCGTCTATCGTTATCGTCGGACAAAAGAGCTACTATCAAACCTTACCTCCGAGCCATAGAAGCTGGAAAAGCAGGAGAACGGTAAAGCTAGGCATGTGGACCTTCGGTGGAAATGCAAGAATGCCAGCTGACAGACAAATTGCTGCATTTGAATGGAGTGGGGGCACTGTCAGCGCTGGAGTGAGGGATTGATCCATCCAAAACTTGGCATAAGCTACATTGCTGGCACGGTTACCAGGTGTTACAAATATATCGAATCAACAACTACAGGAATGAATCAAAGCCATACAAGAATTGCGACCCATCAAGCTCAATTCAACAAGTGCGGGAACGAACCGTCCCCATTTTAAAAAATGGCTGAAGTTCATTCTGCAATCCATTTCGACGCCGTTCGTGCTGGGGCTGACGCAGATCACTCAAGTTCGTTTTGCACAATACCCTCTAGCAATCGCTGTAACAATTTCCTAGGTGTTCTGTGAATTGAGTCATTTTCTGCACATCGCAAGTCCATGCTGGGGACCCGGCAAACAGCACTAGAACCGAAAGTTGATCACGCCTTGAACAAGCATGGAGCCCAACCTGAAAAGCAGACAACCTTGTATGGACTAGCCGCCTCCACAAATGCTGTCGTCGTGCCAAGAGGCTCACCTCCAGAGTAACGAAAACGTTTTTCGGAAAATTGACTCGACGAATATCTCCTGCTGTCAGATTATCACGACTTGGTTTCTAGCCTTTGGCGATAGCGTGTGTAACACTGATCCGCATTGCATATTAGGTCGTAAGCAGCTGTTGTTCGAACGCAGATCGTTTCCGCAAGTACTAGTCCTACACGCGGGTTGCTAGTTCGCAACGCGTTCTAGCGCCTCCCCATTGCTAGTTCGCAGCGCGTTCTAGTGTCGTGAGTTACAGATTCCTGTTTCGTCTATAAGGAGGACTTCCGTCGGTACGCATGGCGGATAAGCACTTCGAGCCTGTTCCGCGCGACGCGAAAGTGGTCGCGAGCATTTTAAAATCGATGGGTGTGGAAGATTACGAGCCACGTGTCGTCCACCAGGCACGTGTGACTGTACTGTCAGATTCAGTAAAGCCGAGTTCCGATGCGAACGTTATAGCATGCTCTGTTCAGTTGTCGGACATGCCTACAAGAACGTTATATCAGAACAAAAAGGATTTATCTTGAAGGATGATGTTTGCTACACTGAGATAGAAGATGCGAGTTTGGTCTCTCTCTCACCACCCTTCAAGTTCGCGTTCCGTTTTCCCTTTCAACGTATCTTCCCTGTTCCCATTCCTCGTACCCCATTCCACCTATCGCTACTCAGAGCATGCAGATTCGTTCGCGTTTCCAACGCCCTTTTCCCTACTCTATCCCGCTCCGTCGCACCAGGTCCTGGAGTTCGCCTATCGCTACATGACGACGTGCTGGGCAAGGCCCGAGTGTACTCAGAGCATACAGCTTCACCCTCCTCTCTTCCTCACTTTTCCCTACCCCGTTTTCTTTCCTCCCACCTGAGACGGAAATGCAGCTCCTGGATTTCGCCTATTGCAACATGACGGACGTGCTGGGCGAGGCCCACGTCATCTCAAGACATGCAGCTTCGTTTCACTTCCCAACTCCCTTTTCCCTACTGTATCACGCTCCCTCCCGGCTCACCAGCTCCTGGAGTTCGCCTATCGCTACATGACGGACGTGCTGAGCGAGGTCCGAGTGTACTTAAAGCACTTAGCTGCATTCCTTTCTCTAGGTCTCTAATCCCAACCTTACCCTATCCCGCATCCGCCATCCCATCACCAGCTTCTGGAGTTTGCCTACCGCTACATGACGGACGTGCTGGGCGAGGCCCGCGTGTATGCGGAGCATGCGGGGCACCCGTCCCTGGAGGTGGACGATGTGCGCCTGGCCGTGCAGGCCAAGGTGTCCTCCTCCTTCTCCCAACCGCCGCCCAGAGAGGTAAGAAGCAGCGTGTGTGTGGGGTTCAAATGCTGCAAGAGAAAGGGGGGGGATGTAGAGAAAAAGGAGATCCATTTGTGCCTGGCCGTGCAGGTCAAGCCAAGGTCTCCTCCTCCCCCTCACAGCCGCTGGCCAGGGAGGTAGAAAGCATGTTCCTTGCTGTTCATTCCCTCACCTTTCACCCACAGCATGTTTTCCCCCAACCACAAGATGCTCATGGAGGAGCGTTTCCTATGCACGCGATGCCGTGCCAGTCCATCAGGGTGAGCTGCCTTGCATTGCAAGTATTTTCACCACGTTCCCCTCCTCCCTTCCACCCATACTTCTTCTCTCTCAGGTGCTCATGGAGCTGGCCCGAGCATGCAACGCTGTGCCAATCCCACCCATATCAGGGTCGGGGCTCTTTGCACTGCCACCTGAGGCCGAGTGCCTGCTTTTGAGGCGTCTCAGAAACTGACCCTATCATTCACCCCTACCACCAGGTTCTCATGGAGCTGGCGCGAGCACGCAACATTAGAAGTGTTTTGAGAGGTCTCAAAATACGTCTCAGTTCACCCCTACCCTACCACCAGGTGCTCATGGAGCTGGCGCGAGCACGCAACGCCGTGCCCATCCCGCCCATCGCCGGGTCAGGGCTCTTTGCACTCCCCCCTGAAGCCGAGTGCCTGCTGCAGCCCAACGTGCAAATCTCTGTCCCCCTGCCCGGCCCTGCCGCTCGTGGTACGTAGTGGATGGCATGCGCTGTCACCCTGTCTTGTGGTGACTGGTGGTAACAGGTAGGTGGTGGTAGGGTTTACGTGACTATCACTCCAGTTACGGTAGTATTTGCCCTGCCCCCTGGGGCCGAGTGCCTGCTGCAGCCCAACGTGCAGATCGCTGTACCTCTGCCCGTCCCTGCTGCCCGTGGTACGTAGTGGGTGTGGTGCCCTGTTACCCTCATGGTAGGTTTTACGTGGTAGCTGTCAGTTGCGCAAGCTAGTCTTTGTGCTCACCTTTGAAGCCAAGCAGCATGCAGATCGCTCTCCCTCTGCCCCGCGCTGCTGCTCTTCGTACATGTCATCATGCCCTGCTTGCCCTTGTGTCAGGTGGTGGGTGATAGGCTCTAGGCTTCATAGTAATTCTTAGGCATCTTGGGCTTCTGACGCCGAGTGTCTGTACCACGTGCACGCACCAAAGGTTGGCTTCGTGTCGTGGACATGTGGATTGAGCCTGTAATTCTCCATTGCCTGTTACCTTTCCTAATTCTCCATTCCCTGATGATGCTCCAGGGTCGCACAAGAGGCAGCGAGAGGGAGAGGCAGGAGGAAAAGCAGGGGGGCGGGGAGGAGGGGGGAAGGGAGGGGACGCTGCAGCAAGAGTAAAGAAGGAGCAAGGGGGGGCGGAGTCGCTACAAGATGGGAAAGCTGGTGTAGGGGGGGCTAAGGTTTCGTTCTCCCTCGATGCTAGAAAACGATGATTGATGCAACAGTGTTACACACCCTGGTGGTTTCATGGAAAGATTTTCCGCAGCATGGCCAACGCTATAATCTTGAAATACAGTCCCACTAACATGTACCCGCAAAGATGAGGATTAGGAAGGGATTGCAAAATGGGCAACACTTATTTGGGGTTGAGCCACAGACCAGTAAGAAGTAGAGTATTATAAGTAGTAAACAAATTCGTTAAAAGCAATGTGTTACATACCGTAGAGGTGCATCCCTAACCGATACAACCCGAACCACATCCTCGTGACTTGCGGACCACTAGTGACAGGCTCGGCTCGGCATTCTCGAGGCTCTCACATTTCAGGCATTTCAGGCGCGCTGAATGCGAACGCCGTGGAGCCCTATAGCCCGCTATTTCCCGCCGCACCATTCGAGTCTCTGAATGAATCTCTCTGAACCGCGACGGATTCTATTCAACTGCGTTAAAGTGAGACCTGACATTCCCTCCTAAATTATTTAGCAAATCCATTGCCAGAATCACCTACCAAGGCAGAACACCACCCGCAGACGTCGGAACCGTCTGACCGCGCCGGATTCGCGGACCTCTTTTCTTGTCCTTCAAATCAGTCATTATGGAGAACGGCCTTAGTCTTTCCGCCGCGAGACGGTCCTGCAGACTACGAAGAGTGCTCGACTGTTATGTCTGTGAAGTAGGATCGAGCAAACGAAGGCATGACGACGGTCGTAGGCATTTCCGAAGGAGAAAGCGAGCTGGAGACAGCGGTTCCTAGAACCGTAGTAACAGCTGACCGGGGATTCAGCGAGCGAGTGAAGGTCGCATGTCGCCTGCGACCGCCATCGCGAGCAGGACCGCTTACCTGGACTGTAGCTGGCAATGTACGTTGTTGGTGGGTCTAACTTTGGTGGGTCTGGCTTTTGAGACGACTCACAAATCTCGTTTCCGGTGGTCCCGTGTCGTTACCGCTCCTGGTTTAGTCGCTGTTTCCGCATAGAGCGCATCGCACGCCAAGAGTTTCCTTCCTGGCTCCATCACCTTTATTGTTGGTACCTCGTATACATTGTCCTTCCTTCCCTCGTCTGACCGTCCAATTGCGGCGCTTAACGCCTTCCTGACCTTAATTGTCACGGCAATAAGTCTTTTCTGGCTTGGACTCTTCCTCATAATGCCTCCTCCCTTTCGTTTCCTCTTCCGTTTCCCTCATCAGACCGTCGTCGCAGCACGCAATCCCAACGCGTTAACGCCGTGTCCGTCGCCGCAACCCCCTCCCCGCTCCACCACCTCCTCCTCCTCCGCCTCGCCTCACTCGTCGCATCCCCCACACTTTTCGCACACGCTTCAGCCTACTGCTCCCCTTCCTGCTAAGGCCCTGACCTTCGAGTTCAACCACGTGTTCGGCTATGATTCGTCCAATTTCGAGGTGCGCTCTATCAAGCCCGAGTTACCCTTACTTCCTACCATTTATTTTGCTCTCAGTTCCCATTCCACCTTTGCGAGTCAGTCCACCTTTATGGATACAAGAGACAAGTGCTTCTATCGCATTTCCTCTTTTCATATTACCTGCCGTTGTGGTTACCAGTCCTGGTTAGCTTTTCCCGTTACCAGTCCTGGTTGCCAGTTCTTGTTACCAATCCGGGTTACCTATCCTGGTTACCTACCCTGGTTAGTAGTGCTGGTTACGAGTCCTGATCACCAGTTCTGGTTACTAGTGCAAGTTATTAGACCTAGTGACCTCAGCACGGCTGTCTGACTCTGCCAGATCCTGCCACCTGCTGCCTGGCAGGTATACACCGAGTTCTGCAAGGGAGCGGTGGAGAGGGCTGTGGCGGGGTGCAGAGCAGTGGTGCTGGTGTACGGGCAGACGGGCACAGGCAAGACGCACACCATCAGCGGAAGCAACGTGGAAGCGGGGGTCTTCCACCATGCCATGGCGGATGTATTTCGGGCGGCACAGAGTGATGACGTGTCTCGTCATGGTGCCAGCTGTCAGAGTGCTGACGTCAGTGCAGCTGAGCATGAGGCCGTGGGAGCATTGGAACAGTCCACGTCAGCAGTGCAGCGCCAGCCAGCAGCAGACACGTCAGCAACGGTTGGGAACGCAACGTCATCATCTCCAGGAGAGGGGGGTTCTCCAGCCGCGAATCAATCGCCACCGTTGATGTGTTTCCTATCAGTGGTGGAGATTTACAACGAGAGAGCCGTTGACTTGCTGCAGGGAGTAAAACCCAGCTCAGTGCAATCGAAGGAGAATGGGAACAGTCGCAGTGACAGCTCTGACAACAGCCTCTCACGCACAGCAGGGAGGAAGCTTATAACGGAGCAGCAGCTGCACTCAGTGGAAGAGGCTGCAGTGGCGTTTGAGTTGGCAGGGCACAGGCGCAAGGTGAGGGGCACGAGCAGGAACAAGCAGAGCAGCCGCTCCCACATGCTCTATGTCATCCGGATCAGAAGAACGCTGCCAGTGAGTGGCACGGAGGGGAGAGCGATGGTTACCGACCAGAATGAAGGTCACTACAACGAAGTGCACAATAATGAAGGGGTGTATAGCGAAGGCATGCTGTACCTGGTGGATCTGGCAGGCAGCGAGAGCTGCAAGGGAGAAGACGCAGCAACAGCAGCCGCAGCAGGGAGTGGAGCACAAGCAGGAGGAGCAGGAACAGGAGGGAGGGAGCAGCAGCAGGAGGGCCCGTGGTGGGGGGGAGAGAGCCCTGTAGTGCCGCTCATCACAGGCCTTCCCACAGGACCGCTCGTGCCGCCCCTGGCCCACCGCCAGAAGCAGTACCAGCAGAAGCGGGGACAGGTTCAGATACATTCACAGCAGCAGCAGCATCAGCAGCAGCAGCAGCAGCAGAAGCAGCAGCAGCAGCTGGTGGGGGGGCAGAGGCGGGTGGGGCAGAGGGAGGCGAAGAGGAGGGAGACGGAGAGCATCAACAAGAGCCTGCTCGCGCTCACCTCCGTCCTCACGCACCTCAGCCAAGCTCGGCCGGGCCTCCCGCCGTACCGCCGGTCTCTGCTGACGCGCCTGCTGCAACCGTGTCTGGGAGGCAGGTCCGGTAGCGGCAACGGTGGCAATGGGGGAAGCAGGGTTACTGTGCTGTGCTGTTCTGCATCGACCCTCAGGACGTCCACGTCAGCAAGACCACTCTCAGGTGAGTATTCAGGTGCCCCACACTTTTGGTAAGGCAGCCCCTCTTCAGCCACTAGTGCCTGCTAATGCAACCAGTCTTATGTGATTCTACAGGGGAGACCAATTCATGCACTGATTTCACTATGCTTTGGACAAACGTCGCTCTTATTCACTTGCCCAAACCAACCCAAATTAACTCTGCCCATCCACTATTGCCTCTACCTTCCTTTCCCTCTTCTATAAACCCTCCGTCCGTTTTTTGCAGGTATTCTGCCATGACACGGCGAATCCGCATGGACTATCGCCCTTCCATACTCTCACTCTCCGTGCCCAAGCATGCCCCACCGGTCGTCCACAAGCCACCCAGGCGCCGGCCAGCAAAGGCTCGTTCTTCTGAGGCACAACCCAAGAGTGCCACTCCGGGTGCAGAGAAGAGCGCCTCTCCGGCACAAAGAGAGAATCGGCAGAAGGGCGTCCGGACAGGTGTGACCGGGGTGGGTGACGTGGAGGAGAGGAGGGTCAAGGCAGAGGAGGGTGCAGGTGGGGAAAGGAAGAGAGTGGGGATGGAGGAGCAAGGGGGGGATATGGGAGTTGAAGAGGAGGTGAGGGTAGTGGTTGAGGAGAGGGAGAGGGAGGAGAAGGTGTTGGAGGTGAGGAGCAGTGAAGGTGAGGGAGAGGAGGGGAAGAGCCAATCTGTGCAACAGGAGTTGCAGCAGATCACGGTTTCGCCCCAGGTGCAGCCCCAGGAGGGCAGCACGGAGCAGCAGCAGCAGCAGCAACAACAGCAGCAGCAGCAGCAGCCGCACCAGCAGCAGGAACCGCAGACCTCTCAGCAACGCGGCATTCTGTCAAAGACACAACAGCAGCACCTGCAAGGCGGTCAGTGGCACGTGCAGCATGTAAATAGACCGAGGCACCTGGATCGCCGAGAGCAGCAGGTGTGGGTGCTGCAGCAACGGGTGCAGCAGCTGCAGCAGCAGAACCAGCAGCTGCAGCGGCAGCGTCTGCAGCTGCTGCTGCTGTGGCGCAGAGGGGGAGCGGGCGGGGGAGGAAGAGGAGGAGGAGGGTGGGGGGAGGAGGGAGGAGGTGCGGCTGAGATGCTGCTGGCAGCAGGAGGAGCTGTAGAGGCACTGCTTGCAGCAGGCGTGGACGTATCTTCTGAGTCAGAAAGCAGCTGCGATGGGGATTTGCACAGGGAGAGTGCTGCTGTGGGCAAGGTGACGCAGTGGGGGTCGGAAGGAGGGGAGGGGGGAGATAGAGAAGGGGACGGGTGCAAGGGGAAAGGTGAAGAGAGGAGGAGGAGGAAGGGGTGGGGCTGTGTTGGCAGCCAGGATTCTCCCGCTGCAGGTGCTGTAAGGGATGTACCACTGGAGCGTGCACTCCAAGACAAGGCTTCAGGAAATGTGCTTCAAACGAATGGAATTGAAGGGAACGTGCTTCAGGAATGTGGGTTGAATGTGGAAGCTGTTGGGGTGGTGTGTGAGGAAGAGTTAGCAGGGGAAGCAGTGCTTGAGTGGTACAATGGCTACGGTGACTATAGCGATAAGGAGAATGCGTATAGCGAGTATGGTGTGACAGCACAGGCACATGCGCATCTGGAGCAGATGGGGCTGGGACTAAGTACCGCTGCCACTGGAGCTGCTGCTGCTGCTGCTTTTGACTTATCTCGTTCTCCTGACAGTGGCAGCGGCAACGTGTCTCCCAATCCCTCCTCGCCCAGCCCTTCCTCACCCAGTCCCTCCTCTCCCAAGTGCTGCTCAACCAATAGTTGCTCGCCCAATACCTCGTGCTCCGATCCTCTCACACCCACTGGCCCCATGGCCACACCCACGCATACATCCACCACCACGTCTGCCTTCTCATTCTCATCCGCCTCCTCTGCCTCTACCTGTGCAGCATCAACACCATTATCATCATCCACATCGCGATCCACATTTTCGATCCCAATCTCCCCCCCAATGATTGGACAGCAATCGCCAGCAGCGTTTCATCAAACCTTGCATGCATGCACACCTCCAACCATCCTCCCACGCGTGCTCTCCTCATATCTGCCATGCATTGTTTCAAAGCGACGACCTCCTTCTGCTGCTGCCAGCCCCGCTGCTGCTGCTGCTGCTAGTGCTGCTGCCGCTACTGCTCCTACCGAGAGCAATTTTGCTGCTTCAGAGCTTGGGTGTGACTCAAGCCATCCATGGAAGTGTGCAGCTCTGGTGTGCACGGCCATGCAGTGCATTGCACTGGACGTGCAGAGCAGAGGGGACGGGGAGGAGGAGGAGGAGGTAGAGGTGGAGGAAGACAGTGTGTTTGTTGACGTGGGAATCTGCCTGAAGCAAGTGGAGAAAGGGAAGGGATGGAGGGAAATGGACATGGAAGGACATCGAGCTCTGGAAGGAGAGGATCGTGCAGTGGAATTTTTTAACGGGGGTGTCGGAGGCAGGAAGAAGTTGAAGGAGAGGTCTGTGTTGCTGCAGCGCTGGTTGGCAATGGCATGTGTGTGCTTTAGCAGCCAGAATGATGTTGGTGTGGTGTAGTAGAAATTTGAACAGGCTGGGGAAATGTTTTGTAATCAAATAAATTTTGAGGCATATATTTCTGCAGTGATATTTAAACCATAAAGCACACACTTGTTACCTAGTGAACCCTTTCTACGTCCTGTGTATTCTCCAAGATCGTCATATGATAAAGTAGCAAACTGTAGCATATGGTTAGCAAAACTGGTCCTTTAGAGCTTATCGCGTGACGGGGATGCATCCTCGATCATTCCGCTAGAGCATAATGCAGAATGCATTTCCCTCTCTTCTAGGGCATTGAGGGCATCGAGCACAAACAGACCTTCGATTTCGCAGCATTCAATTTATGAGCACAATAGCCACGAATCGCGATTGTCGCAAAGGACGATAGCTGCGAACTTCTAGATTCTTGCCTTTCCAATTATGCATGCGATGCCAGCCCGTAAATGCTCGTGGCCTGTCGCTCCCATCAACAACGCTTTCGCATAGTGCGAACTTGTCCGCTCGCGCCAATGGAAGTAAACGGATTGATCTTGGCCTATAAGGAACGCCTGCTGAGTGTTTGACTCCATGCACACGCTAAAATTCTTCGTTCTTCGAATTCCCTCGATCTCACCGCGCTCAGCGAAACGAAGCCTTTTTCAGGCACAAAATAACCAAGCGTTTCCCCGTTACGATGACCTTCTTGGGATTGTATGGATGTCCTCCTGGAGGATTCCGAGCTTCTACCCATGGAAGGAGTTCCTTACAATGGGCTGCAAAAGGCGAATCCTTGTCCTTCTTTCTCAGCTCAGACTTTCGAACCGGATCCTCCTACTCATCAACCGATCCTGCCCTATCAGCCGGGCTTGCAGGTTTCTGCACTGGATCGTGGTGCGGTCATGACCGCGCGTGCTTATGTTTGTGACAAGGATGGCCTGGTTGATTTCGAGGCTTCCTTTTCTGAAGAAGAGAAAACATGGCTCTACGTTCCTTACAATTTGCCTCCTCCGAAACCAATAATTTCCCTGCGCGGATCCGAGGCATGTTTGGAGCATGAGTTTTGGCGGGACTACCCAGAAGAGGATCAGACCTGGCTGTATGTTCCACCAGCATTGTCAGCCTATGTTTCCCAAACCCAGCGTCCTGAAAATTCTGCTCGCATGGATAAGATCCACTACAACAGCAGTAGCAGCAGCAGTGGCAGTGTGCTACCTCCTGTGAGTTCCACGGGTGAGAGCACTCCGACTGGAAGCAGTGGTAGCAGCGACAGGAGCACCAGCAACTCAAAAGGTTGCTCCAAACAAGGACGCTATCAGGGGGGAAGCAAACGCTCAAGAGTCGAAGCCATCTTTCGCGTCTGAAGAGGCGTCTCACGGTCAAACCCCTGTTGCTTACAAGAGTTTGGCTCATCCAGAGGTTGATGCGAGTTTGAGGGTGCCAATGACTGAAAATTCCTTAAGGCCACTCAATGTTGATCAGAGGTCTCTGCAGTCACAAAATTCTGCCAGACGGCCAGTGAAGCCAGCTGCTGCTGATGGGAAACAAGTGCAGCTACTCAATGCTGCTGAGACATTGAGGAAGCCTGCTACTCAGCCATTCATGACGAAGAAAGCAACACCAGCAGTGGATGCTTTTGTGAAGCCAGTGAAGCTACATGATTCTTTTCTAGAATCAGCCAAGTCAGCCAATGCTGTTAAGAAGCCAGGGAAGACATTGGCTGCTGTTGAGAAGTCAGTTGAAGCTGCTACTCCTCCTGAGAGCCGTATAAAGCAGATACATGCTACTGACAAGTCGCCAGCTGTCAGTTGTGATGGATCCACGACCAAGGGAGCACGTGGAAGGTCCCAGAGTGTGCAAGCAGCAGCCAAGGCAACACTTGGGAGTGGAGTGGCAGTTACACCACCTGCATATGAAGAAGCTTTAAGACGTCTTGCAAGCAGTGCATCACGCATTCCCAGGCCTTCTAGCTCAAGACAGGCGTCAATGGTTCCCATGTCTGTGCCAGTCAAGGCCCATGCCGCATCAGCAGCACATCAGGGGGAAGGTACTGCAAGGATCACACCACCACACACTGTTGCAGAGACACCTGTCCTGAGGTTCGGCTTCAAGAAATCAACTAAACTGGCATACCAAGAGTGGCAATCTGCTGTTGCAAGGAAAGACGGGCATTTGTAGGATCTCAAGGCTGGATTAGATTGCTTGGTGTCCTGTCTGAATGCAGAGTAATGCTGAGTTTGATGCTGCACCTGTTGCATATGACGCATTCAACTGTGAGCTATGGTTTACCGTGCCACTGCTTCAGACACACACAAGCAGGCAATCATGCAACGATCCTCTCCCACTTCTTTATTTTGCCACATGAGTGCCCTCCCCAATGCACAGTAGCACCTGGGAAAATTCATCGTGGCAAGCACAAAACGTGCATTGCATGATCTTGCTTGCATCCCAGGCAAGGCTGCCAAGCATTGCAACATACACATACAGGATGGGGTAATGTATGGTACCTTGCAGTCAAGTACAAAGGAGCTCCAGAACCAGTGGGCTTCAGACATGCTCAAGAGCTCTTGCTTCCATAAATTGAATCCATCAGCCATGACTCTGCACTACTGCAGACATGACTCTGCCCCCATCAGATGCCCTGGTTACAAAATACACAGCACATATGGCACGTAGCAAGGTGCACTTGATCACTCAGTAGTTCCTCCTTCAAACATCGCCCTGCCTAATCATTTACATGCAAGATAACTGACTCTGCACACTTCCACTTCGCCACCTGCCAGCTTAAATGGATGCCACCCTCTTAGCAAATCCCTGCCACCTCAGCAATGCGAGAAAACTCATCTATGTCAATCTCCCCGTTGCCTGAGGGAGGGGGGGACAGGGAGGAATTGGAGGATGGGCAAGTGAGGGTGGGTGCTGTGGATGGGTGCAAGCATGTGTGGATGGGTGCAAGCATGTGTGGATGGGTGCAAGCATGTGTGGATGGGTGCAAGCACGTGTGGATGGGTGCAAGTATGTGGGGGCTGGACGCATCATACCATCCATGTCAGCACTGTAGAACATGCCATCCACGTCAGCACTGTACAAGTCACCATCCACGTCAGCACTGTAGAACATGCCAGCACTGTTCAACTCACCATCCACGTCAGCACTGTAAAACATGCCCCTGATCTCGTCATCCGAGAAAACAACCCAGAGGTCCAACACGCCTCTCTTCAATGTGCGCTGCGATATCTTGCCCTGCTCATCCCACAGGTACATTCACAGCACACCCACGGCACATTGTCATTTGAGACGACAATCCCGAGGTCCAACACGCCTCTCTTCAGCGTGCGCTGGGATATATTGCCTTGCTAATTCATGGCACATTCCCCGGCACATTACACATACCCAGCATGTTGCAAAATCCCGGCATGTTTCACATTATTGACACGGTCAGCACACAGCAGTCAGCACTCATCTTGTTACAGGGATTAGCACATGATTACTACGTAGGAGTGAGTGAGTGCACAACAGTTTCAGGGCTTCAACATTGCACTACGAGAGGGAACCCATCAGAGGTACAACTATCCACTATAAATGAATTAACACATGTGTGCACTGTACCATACTCACAGTTCGCTTATTAGAGAAGAGTTGGTACATAGCAATCAGGCCCTGGTGCATGTTCTGCTCGCCCATATATATAATATTAAGCCTGTGTGCTGTAGTGTTGTATAAGCCTGTGTGCTGTAGTGTTGTATAAGCCTGTGTGCTGTAGTGTTTGTACTGTAGCACACTCACAGTTCGCTTATCGGAGAAGAGCTGGTACATGGCGACGAGGTCCTGGTGCATGTTCTGCTCGCCCATGTAACCGCTCATCACCGCTACGTACTCCTCAAAGTCTATCGAGCCATCGCCGTTGCAATCCATGGTTGCAAAGATCTCCTCAAACTCCTGCGGGGGAGGAGAGAGGGGGAAGCAGTGAAGAGGGAGAGGCTTTGAGGTGAAAGGGGTGATTGACCGTGCCTCACCTCCTGACTGACCGTGCCTCACCTCCTGACTGACCGTGCCTCACCTCCTGACTGACCGTGCCTCACCTCCTGACTGACCGTGCCTCACCTCCTGACTGACCGTGCCTCACCTCCTGACTGACCGTGCCTCACCTCCTGACTAACCGTGCCGCACCTTCTGACTCACCGTGCCTCACCTCCTGACTGACCGTGCCTCACCTTCTGACTCACCGTGCCTCACCTCCTGGCTGACCGTGCCGCACCTCCTGACTCACCGTGCCTCACCTCCTGACTGACCGTGCCTCACCTCCTGACTGACGTTGATGCCCAGCTGACTGCACAAGAAGCACAGAGAGAAAGGGTTGGGACAGACAGAGGGTGCAGGGGTTTGAGGGAGCACAGAGGACAAACAGCGAGAAAGGATTGACGAGGCGCGCAGAGGGAATTTGGGTGGAAGCGAGAGAGGTGAGAAACCTAGAGGCGATAAAAGGAGGTGTGGGGTGGTTACTGTTTTGAGTCGACTCAAAACACGAATTTCGGTGGAAGCGAGGGGGGATAGAAGGAGGTGTGGGGTGGGTAGACCAATGATGTTTAAGAATTCTCAAAAGTACTGACGAAGTGCAAGAATGATGCTCTAATGATATGGTTCATGTGCCGCATTAGACAGAAATCACACAAGAGAGTGCATGAGCAGGTTGCATGCAATGGAGCGAGAGAGTAGTATCATGCCACCTGCTCTCTCATGCCACATGCAATGGTGCCTAAATCAAGCGATTGCTGACATCTCACCTCATGGCGAATTTCATTTCCATCTTGTCAATAGATCCTGCCAGTCAACGCCAGTCAATGCACAATGCCAGTCAACGCCAGTCAACGCCAACGCCAGTCAATGCCAGTCATACGTGCAAAAATATATCCTCGACATAAGCCTGGGTTCAATCAACTATCACTCACCCGACCCGTCTTTATCGAACACGGTGAAAATATCCTCAATCTTCGCCATCTGCTGCGGAGTCAGCCCCCGCGCTGCGCCAGCAGGCGCAGCCCCTGCAGCGGCCGCTGCCGCCGCCGCCGCAGCCCCCGGCGCGGGCGGCGGAACCACTCTGGTCCGCCCCGCGAACATCCTGGTGGGATTGGCGCCCGCGAAGGAACCCCCCGCGAAGCTTCCTCCTACTCCCGCTACGAAGCTTCCAACGCCAGCCCCTCCCGCCTGGAACTGCCGCGTCGATCCAGCGCCCGGCGGAAAGACCCGCGACGCGCCCGCGGCGCCTCCGCCGAAGACGCGGCTCTGCGCGCCGGCGTGCGCTTGCGCTTGCGCGTGCGCGTGGCGGGTGCTGGCTTGCGCCATGATGGACGTGAACTGCCGGCTGAACTGCTGCGCCGCTGCGCGAGAGCTTGCGCCCGGCGGCGCAGCTCCGCCGATCGCGCCTCCGCGCAGAGGCGCGGGTCCGCGCGGGGCTGACCCCGAAGGTCCCGCCGCCGCGTGTGGCGCCGGCGGAGGCTGGTTAGACCTGTTGGGCTCCCAGCCGCTGTTCCCGCTCGTCATGGCGGTGCTTGTGGGGTCCTCGTGTGCGTGTTATGCGCGTGTGGTGCGCGTGTGGCGTGAGCGTGGCCTGCGCGTGGCGTGGGTGTGCGTGTGGTGTGCGTGCAGGAACCTTGTGTGCGTGTTACGTGTCTTCGGGACAATGACGATACGGGCACCTAACGGCTGCGACTCAAATCGTATGAACGAGCAAATGCGCGTAGAAGGCGGGGAGCACTTGCGTCCGTGTTCGGGTCTATGTGCACGAACAGCCTGTATGGTGTGCGAGTAATAAAGTGACGCGAGACCACGATACCGAATTTTTAGTCGACTCAAAACTAGTGATAGTACGACAGCTGGGTGCACCGAGAGCGTACGGATGCAAGCGAGAGGACGAGATGAACGAGAGAACGAGCGGTGTCGGCCAATGTCAGAGAGCGAACGAACGAGCGATGCAAGCCAGAGGACGAGGCCGGGAACGGGAGAACGAGCGGTGTCGCCAACCAACCAAGTTGTCTCGTGTCGCCCACTAACTACGCGTGTACGGAATACTACGAAGTTTACCGCTCCGAATTCGGTCAGATCTTATATTGGAGGCAGCGAAGTGCGCCGACAACAACAGAGACACTGGAAAGCCAACATACAAATCTAACTCCTGTGTGGTTCTTCTCTGTCGACTATGCCAGCGAAATCAAGACTCGCGAATTCGAAATGAGGAGTTTGCGCTGAGCAACCTTGAAGAACCTTGGTTGGCAGCCACGGGTGGGCTGCTGAACAAGGGCAGCGCGGCAACACCGAGGATAGCACCAGCAACGAGGCTTGGGGTTTGCCGTGTGCAGCGGGGCTTTTGGCGGGAAAGCAAGAGCTGGAAGCACGGAGGAACGGGTCAAGTCAAGAAAGCCCAAATAATTCCGGAGGTAGGGGGTAGGCAATGATATTCATGGCAAAAACATCCGATACAAGCAAATACTTATGGCAATGACATTGTTAAAGTGTACCAAGCTTGCTAGCATATAAAACGCATCCGTAATTATGGAAACCGGTACACAGTGTTTTCCACACCAATAGTTCCACAATTACAACACACAGCCCGATATCTTTGATCGCAAAAATGAACCATAATAGATGTTTTTACATGTTGCTCGTTTTTTCTTCATCAGACAGGCATGTCCGCCTCTGCTGCTGGCTGGGTGGAATCGGGGGTAGGCTGTGAGGGGAGGGAAGAAGACGACTGGAGAGGGAGGGGAAACGAGGGGAGGGGAGGGAGGGAAGAAGACGACTGGAGAGGGAGGGGAAACGAGGGGAGGGGAGGGAGGGAAGAAGACGACATGAGAGGGAGGGGAAACGAGGGGAAGGAAAGGGGATGGGAGAGGAAAGAGGGAGGCGGATGATGGGATAGGAAAGAAGGAAGCCAGGATGATGGGCAGGGTCGTCGCTAGCATACTTTTTTTGTCTGTTTGACTGATATTCAGACATGTTTTTTTTTATAAATCTGATGGGCCAGTCACCATCAGACAAAACTTTTTTTTTGCCCGGGGGACCCATCTGATGCATCAGACATACCTCAGACCCTAGGGACGACCCTGATGATGGGTTGGGAAAGAGGGAAGGGGGTGATGGGAGAAAGAGGGAAGGGGCTAATTGGATGGGAAAGAGGGAAGGGGGTAATGGGATGGGAAAGAGGGAAGGGGTTGATGGGATGGGAAAGAGGGAAGGGGGTAATGGGAGAAAGAGGGAAGGGGGTGATGGGAGAAAGAGGGAAGGGGTTGATGGGACGGGAAAGACGGAAGGGGGATGATGGAAGGGAAGGGGGTGATGGGATGGGAAAGAGGGAAGGGGGTGATGGGAGAAAGAGGGAAGGGGGTGATGGGAGAAAGAGGGAAGGGGTTGATGGGACGGGAAAGACGGAAGGGGGATGATGGAAGGGAAGGGGGTGATGGGATGGGAAAGAGGGAAGGGGTTGATGGGATGGGAAAGAGGAATGGGGGTGTGGGATGGGAAAGAGGGAAGAGGGTGATGGGATGGGAAAGGGGGAAGGAGACGGTGGGACGGGAATGAGGGAAGGGGGTGATGGGATGGGAAAGAGAAAAGCGCAACACCCTCGCCCGCGCAGCACCCCACCTGCGCAGCACCCCACCCGCGCAGCACCCCACCCGCGCAGCACCCCTCCCGCGCAGCACCCCACCCGCGCAGCACCCCTCCCGCGCAGCACCCCTCCCGCGCAGCACCCCTCCCGCGCAGCACCCCTCCCACGCAGCACCCCTCCCGCGCAGCACCCCACCCGCGCAGCACCCCACCCGCGCAGCACCCCGAGCCCTGCAAGCGACTCGGAGCCTACCTGCGAACCTTCTTCGCGTGTCACTTTTTCGCCTTTCCCGCCTTTTTTGACGCGCGAGCTTTCAGCATCTCCTGGATCGTCGACGTGGACTCCGCCGGCCGCGGCTCGAGCCACGTCAGCGGGTGCCGGCGGAAAGCGGGCCAATCGGGAACCACCACGAGGCACGCGAGCAACGTGGCGCCTAAATGAATATACATCATGAGAGAGAAGGAGGAGTAGAGGAATCCGGCACCGAAAGCTATGGCGGCACCGGCGAGGAGAATAATCTGCATCAGATACTCCGCGAGGCGCTGACCCTGCCAATCCATGACGATTGCGGCGATGCGGGTTGCGGCGATGCGGAATGCGGTGATGCGGATTGCGGTGATGCGGGTTGCGGTGATGCGATCACTGCGCGCGGGTTCTGCGAGTGCGACGATTCGGATTGCGAGGCGATGGCGAAGGCGAAATCTCCAAAAATAAATCGCGATACCCTAAGCAGAGCTTGGGTTGCAGTGGCGAGATCGAGTCAAATTCGCTAAGACACGGACTAAAAAGGAAGTTCTCCTGGATTATGATTGGTCAGCTAACGGAATGGAGTGAAAAGTCTGAAGCTAGTGTCCGTATCTTACGCTTCCCCTTGCCAGTACTTCCAGAAAGTCCAACAAACTCCAAGGGGATCCTAGATCAGGGCGCGTTCGTGCCCGCAGTCAGAATTCGGGTCGGGCCGTGACCCGAAGTGCAAATAACGGACTGGGGCGGATGTTTTGTTTCGTTTCGTTTCGTTTTTGCTGTTCCTAACCAGCGTTAACAAGCGTAAACGAACCGCTCTGAAACGCACACAATGCAACCCCGCCGGGATAAAATGTACTGACACACTCCGAGACTAAACTTGACACCCGCTATGTGAAGAGTTACCGCTACAAGATGAGCTGATCCAATGTAGGTTGAGCTTAGAAAATACCACATTTGTCCAGCATATAAGCACTTATAACAAGCACATAAATTAGGGCAGGTGAGAAGCTACGTTCCGCTTGGTGGAACAGCATCCACCAACGTTAGCTTAGCAGTCAGCTCATGTCATTTTGTATGGTCTTCGTCCTTGGAAGCTCCTATACTGAACTTCTGCAATAGCTGCGATATCTCGTCCAAATGTGGTTCTTCCAAGGAGGCCTGCACATGGAAACATGGAAACAAACGTTTGGGGAACAGAGCGGGCGGTTGAGGAAGAAATATCTCTTGGAAAATGTAAGGTATTTCTAGGCCTCTGCAAAAGAAAAGGAGGGGGACCAGGATTTGAAACAACAATGAGAGCAGGGAAGCCACTTACGGATTCAGTTGCTGTTGCGCTCCGGTCCTCGCCCGAACCAAACAGACGTACGGGCCGCACCTGCCGCCTCCGTGTGCCCAAGGCTGACGCACCGGTTCGGGAGAGAGGAGAAGAGGAGGATCGGAGGATGGGGGAGGACGATGCCGATGCAGAGTGCGTGGCTTGTGGGGCTGACAGGGGGGCAGGGAGAGGGGCGGATGCTGCAGGAACCCCCGACTGGCTTCGACAGAGAGTGGTGCTGCTGGTGGTGGCATGCTGCAGTGGCGATACGTGTTGCTGTGCGGGCTGCAGGTGTTGCTGCACTGGCGACATGTATTGTGATTCCGGTTGTGATGGGTTCAAGGGACTGCCGCCATCACTCACAGTGACAGTGACCATTTCTGCCCCACACTGCGGCGACGACAGGGCGCCTTGTGAGGCACCATGATAACCACACAGTGTATCATCTCCCTTACTGCCATGTGCGTCGTCCCTGTTATTATCAAATTTGTGTGATGAATCTGAAGCTGCGGCTGCGGCTGCGGCTGAGGCAGACGCTGAGTCCGAGGCTGAGGCCACCGCACTCCACTGCTTCATCTCCTCCAAAGCTGCAAAAATGCTCCTCTCCACCTGCTTCCTTGCACCTTCCTCCTCCTCTTCCTCCTCATCTTCCTCCTCATCCTCGTCCTCCTCCTCGTCATTATGACTCACATCATTGTCACTACCACTGCCATCACTACTAGCAATGCCACCACTATCCTCTTCACTATTGTCATCACCATTAAGATCACGACTCACACAGGCAGCAGCACCATCATCAGCACCACAGCCATCCACGGTACCTCTACCATCACTAACCGAACCATTCACCATGCCGTGCCTCCAGCAGCCAGCAGCCTTGCCACCACCGTTCCATGCCACATACTTGCTCTGCCTGCTATCCGCCTCCCCATCCGCCCCTCCACTCTCGGCCAATCCCAAGAGCTCCTCCAGCATGCTGTCCACGTCATCCCCCTCCCCATCCATGTCATCCCCCTCCCCATCCACGTCATCCCCCTCCCCATCCATGTCATCCCCTTCCCCTTCCACGTCATCCCCCTCCCCCTCCCCCTCCCCTTCCACCTCCTCCTCCCCCTCTGCCTCCTCCGTCTCCCCCTCTCCATCATCCTCAGGTCCTTCCCCATCCTCCATCCATTTCCTTTCCTCCAGCCCCACTCCCCCTTCATCCTTTGCACAGCCTGATACAGATTTCTTCGCTGCTACAGCTGCAGTCGCCGATCCCTTTGCTGCTACAGATGCCGCTACAGCCGTGGCAGCAGCCTGCTCTGCAGCTGCCTCGATAGCTGCAGCCATCATGACACGCAAACATGCTTCCTCAACCTCCCCTCCACCCTCCTCCCTCTCCTTCTCCCTCCTCCTCTCCCTCTCCTTCTCCCGCATTCTCATCCTCACCCGTTCCCTTATACACAGCCTTTCTCTTACCCTCTCCCTCTTCCTCTCCCTCTCTCTTTCTCTCTCCCTCTCCCTCTCCTTCTGCCTCACCCTCACCCTTTCCCTCACTCTCTCCCTCTCCCTCTCCCTCTCCGTCTCTCTCCCTCTCCCCCTCTCAACCGCTTTCCTCACACCCTCCTCCACAGCTGCTTCAAGCACAACCGCCCCCACCTGCACCATCCCTCTCGCTCTCTCCTCCTCCCTCTCTGCTCTCCTCTCCAACTCCTTCCCGAGCTCTCTGCACCGCTCTCTCTCCTCCACCACTCTCCTCGCAGCCGCAGCAGCAGCAGCATGAGCAGCACGAGCAGCCTCCCTTGCAGCTGCTACCTCCATTGCCCTCCCCACCTCAATTCCCCCATCCCCCATATCTCCTTCCCTTTCCACCTCCCCTCCCTTCCTCACCTCCTCCTCTCTCTGCACTATTTCCTCCTCCTTTTTCCCTACCTCCTCCTCCCTCTTAGCTAAGAGCAGCAGTTGCTCGTCCCGCCGCCTAAGAGCCTCCTCTAAGAGCCAAACATCTTCATCCAACTTCTCCTCTCCCTCCCTCACTCTCTCCTCCCTTTCCCTCAGCCCCTCCTCCCGTCTTACCCTCTCCTCCATCCTCACTCGCCCCTCCTCCACCACAGCAGCACTCCGAGCCTCCACAGCAGCCTCGGCTTTGGCAACAGCTGCCCGCGCAGCATTCAGCTTCTCCCGAGCCTTCTGCTCAGCTTCGGGCCAAACCTCCTCCCAAACATTTTCCCGAACTTCCTCTCGAACCTGCTCCCAGACCTCCTCCCGTACCTTCTCCCGAACCTGTTTCTCAGCCTTGTGCATCCGAGCCTCTGCCTTGGCAACGGCCTGACTTACTACCGCCTCTTCTACCCCTTCCAGCGCAATCCCCACTATTTCCATCATAAACCTCTCTTTCTCAGAAGCTTCTGCTTCCTTCTCAGCCTGTGCTAGTGTTACTGCTTTACCCACTGCTGACTCCAAGGCAATCGATGCAATCTCCATCGTATACCTCTCTTTCTCAGAAAATTCTGCGTCCTTCTCAGTCCGTGCTACTGCTGCCTTTCTAGCCGCCTCACACACCACTGACTCCAAGGCAATCGATGCAATCTCCATTGTATACCTCTCTTTTTCAGAAGCTTCCGCATCCTTCTCAGCCTGTGCTATTTTTATTGCCTCACCCACCGCTGACTCCAAGGCAGCTGCTGCGATTTCTATCGTATACCTCTCTTTCTCAGAAGCTTCCGCTTCTTTCTTCTCAGCCCGTGCTACTGCCTGTGCTACCGCCTCACACACCACTGACTCCAAGGCAATCGATGCAATCTCCATCGCATACCTCTCCTTCTCAGAAGCGACAGCTTCCTTCTCAGCCTGTGCTTTCACCGCCTTCCTAACCGCCTCACCCACAGCTGACGCCAAGGCAACTGCTGCAATCTCCATTGTATACCTCTCCTTCTCAGAAGCTTCCTGAATCTTGGCCTCAAGCTCCTTCACACGTGACTTGAGCTCCTCACTCTCCCTCACACCCCTCCTCTCTTCCGGCTTGCTTCCTTCCGTCTCCCCCTCTCCCCTCTCCCGGTTCACCTGCTGCAGACCCCTCTCTACCTCACCGTCCTTCTCTCTACCCCCAGCCGCCACCGTATCAACCACAGCAGCAGCCATATGCTCGAACTGCTGCAGCACTAGACCAGCCTCTTGAGTCGATTCAGAAGTCACCCTAGTCACCACAATATCCATCACAGCACCAGCCAAACTTTCAAACTGCTGCAGCGCAAGACCAGCCTCCTGACTCGACTCAGAAGTCACCCTACTCACTACAGCATCAACCACAGCAGCAGCCAACTGCTCAAATTGTTGCAGCACAAGTGCAGCCTCCTCTGCCTGCCTCTCCGTCCTCTCCCACTCCTTCTCCCTCTCTTGCTGCACGATCAACCTCGCTCTCTCCCCCTTCTCCCTCTCCCTCCTCAGCTCCTCCCCAATCTCCGTGCACCTCTCCCTACCCCTCTCCACCTCTCTCCACAGCTCCTCACACCTCCTCCTCTCCCTCTCCACCACTCCCTCCAACTCCCGACACCTCCTCCCCTCTCTTTCCACCTCCCTCCCCAACCCCTCACACCTTCTCCTCTCCTCCCCAAGCAATCTCTCCACCTCTCTAACCGCCTCTCTCCCTGCCGCTGCTTCACTCTCGGCTGCTGCTGCTACCGCCTCAGCTGCAGCAGTCGCAGCTTCTGCTGCAGCCACTGCCTGAGCGTGCAACACGTCTCTTGCCTGCTCTGCTGCCTCTAGCCTCCCCTGCCACGCCCTCTCCCTCTCCTCGCCCTCTCTCACTTGCTGCTCGAGTGACTTGAGACTCGCCATAGCTGCTGCTGCAACGTCAGAGGCAGCCACAGCAGGAGTTGTACCGTTTGGTGCATTGCTCGTGGTACTGTCTACAGTATCGTTTATTCCACTGTTTATGGCGCTGTCCATGGTATTATTCATGGAACTGTTTATAACGCGGATTGTGCCCTCCTGAGGAGCCCCAGTGCTGCACTCTTTACTGTTCATCAGGACCATGTCTTCAGCTCTAGCCACTCGCTCTTCCAGCTCCCGCACCTTCCTTGCAGCTTCCTCCAGCTCCCCCTGTGCGATCTGCACCGCTTCTGCCCTCCCCTCCTCTCTCCCTTCCCTCCTCCCCTCCTCTTTCCCTTCCCTCCTCCCTTCCTCTCTCCCCTCCTTCCTCCCTTCCTCTTTCCCCTCCCCTCTCCCTTCCTTCCTCCCCGCGATCCTCCCATCCAATCCCACATCCTCCATCCCTTCCCTCCACGCCTCCTCCCTCCCCTCCTTCCTCCCCTCCGCCCTCCCTTTAGCATAAGCCTCGTCAGCAGCAGCGCGGGCAGCAGCCTTCACCTGCTCCATCTCCTCCCTCGCCTCCTCCATTACTGCCGCCACTGCCTCTGCTATCATCCCCGCAGCATCGCTCCCAATATCACTCCCACCATCACTCGCACCGTCATTCCCACCGTCACCATCACCATCACCATCACCATCACCATCACCATCACCATCACCATCACCATCACCATCACCATCCCTTTCCACCTCCTCCCCCTCCTCCCATTTTCCCTCTCTCCTACCTTCGCTGTCCTCCTCATTTTTCTCCACCTCTTTACCACCCCCTTCGTTACAGTCACTCTCGAATCCAGAGCTACACACAACATTTGAGCCCACATCCTCCCCAGCCCCTGCTCTCCCTGCCTCCTTCCCACACACAAGCCCACGCTCCTCCTTTCCTCCCTCATTATCCCCCACCCTCATCTCCCTCCTCTCCGTTTCCCTTTGCTCCGCTGCGCCTGCCTCTTTCAATGCCAGCTCAGCAGCCAGTCTTTCCAGCTCAGCTTTCAGCTGCCTCGCCCGTGTCTCGGCTTCCTCCCTCGCTGCCCTCTCAGCTGCAAGCAACGCCTCCATCCGTTCTATCTCGATTCGATTGGATTCGATTCTCTCCACTTCCGATGCTGCCTGCTGCTCCCCTTGCAGCTGCAGTGCAGCACAGAGACCAGGAGCAGCAGTACTGGCAGCAGCAGCCCCAGAACCAGCAGCAACAGCAGCACTGACAGAACCATCAGCACTAGCACAGGGACCAGGAGCACGGGTATCCAAAGGAGCCTCAGTACAAGCAGCAGCACCAGAACCAGCAGCAGCGGCACCACCAGCAGCACCATCAACGGCAGCAGCACCGCCACCAGCATTGGCAGCATCAGACACAGACGCATCCCTTCCCTCCGCCTTCCTCTCTCCCTTCTCCATCCTCCTCCTCCCCATCCGCTCCTTCTCCTGCTCCAGCCGTTTCATCTGCGCCTGCATGTCCAGTATCATCTCATCCCGGCGTTTCAACTGCGCTCTCAGCCGTTGAAACTCCTCCCTGCGGAACAGAGGCGTGGGCCTGCTGCTGCTGCCACCACTGGCACTGCCGCCGCCGCTGCTGTTGATGGCACTGGGGGGAAGAGCAGCCGTTTGAGTCAGACCAGGAGAGACAAGTGCAGGAGAGGAGGAGAAGAGGGGAGTGGGAGAGGAGGAGAAGAGGAACAGAGGAGGAGAGGCAGCAGTGCTGGAAGCAGCAGAATGGAAGGCAGTGCCCGTTCCACCACCAGTAGTAGCAGCAGCAGCTGCAGCAGCAGCAATCGCAGTAGCACCTGCAGTGCTGCTTCCGCCAGTGAAAGGCATGGAGAAAGAATCAGAGAACCTCCTCCCCGCTGGAACACTCCCAAACCGAAACACAGCAGCTGGTGCTGGTGCCTGGCCTGAAACACCAACTTCAGTAACTGCTAGTGCTGCTGCTGCTGGTACTGCTGGTGCTGCTGGCGTGCCAAGCCCGCTCGTGCCTCCCTCTGCTGCCGAACCAACCCTGCCGCCAAACTGCCACTGTGCCGCGTTCGCCGCCGCTGCTGCTGCCCCAGTCGCCGTGACTGCAGCAGCAGCAGCAGCAGCACTACTGGCTGCTGCCGAAACAGACACAGATTCCGTCGCCAGATCTTTAAGTGGCGTTGTTTGCCGCCCTTCCTCACCTCCTCCTCCCTCTCCACCTCTTCCTCCTCCTCCCCCTGCCTCTACAGCAGGGGCAGCAGGCAGCAGAGCAGAAGACACTGACGAGGACGAGCAGAGCGAGAGCCCATGGAGAGCCGGCAGGCCGCCCGCCTTTAGAGCCTTGTTCAACACCTCTCCATTCACCACAGCACCTTCCTGCCTTGAGCCATCAGCTAGACCATCAACACCACCAGCTGCAGCAGCGGCGGCGTCTGGTGGAGCGGGCGCGAGTGCAGTGGGCGATCCAGCAGGAGGCGGGGGGGTAGAGGGAGGAGGAGATGCCAGGGGAAATTGAGATGCAGGAAAAGGGGAGGGAGCTCCGGAGGAACGCAAGGGAGTTGCGCAGAATGGCGAGGGCGCAAACAGGTGCATGGCAGAGCTGCCTTGGTTGGACCCTGCAGGCGCAGGGCTGTTGGCAGCACCGGCTGTGGCAGCAGAAGTGGCAGCAGCAGTTGCAGCAGCACTGGCAGTGAAAGCACTGGCAGCGGCGCCACTAGCACCAGCAGCGGCACTAGCACCAGCAGCGGCACCACTAGCGGCAGCAGCGCTGGCAACAGAGGGTGCAGGCGTGGTGTTGCGAGCAGACGTGCGCAGCCGGGCGTGCCTCTTCCATGCAGGGGTGCCTGTGGGGACAGCGGTGGTGAGAGATGGGGAGAAGTGCGACGAATGCAGGCGTGAGTTAGCGATGAATGAGAGAGGCACAATGAGACAAGCAGATGTCCACCAAAGTGCCTCTTCCATGCAGGAGTGCCTGTGGGGACAGCGGTGGTGAGAGATGGGGAGAGAAGAACGACGAATGCAGGCGTGAGTTAGCGACAAACGAGAGAGGCACAATGAGCCAAGCAGATGTCCACCAAAGTGACTTGTGCGTTGGCTTGAAATGGCTTGAAAGTCATCTTGGTGGAACTACACGGACGAATGGAGGAAAAGGATGGGCAACTTCACGTCCAGGGTAAAGGCTTTAAGAGGCAAAGGCATGAGCAGCAGAAGCACTTTTGAGTCGACTCAAGAGTCGCCTCGGAGGAAACGGATGGAAACTGCACGTCCAGGGCAAAGGCATCGGAGGCAGAGGCATGAGGCAGATACCCCAGCACAACACAGCATGCCTACAGCTTTCATGGACGTGCAGGCTCCATCCTTTTCCTCCAAGGCAGCATGCACAATACAGAATGCATGCAGCATTCCTGTCTCCTGCTCCATGTGTGCCTCTCCTTCTCCCTCTCTGCCTCTCACCTCCATCTTTCCCCTGAGAAGGACCTGACTGCACGGCCTCTCGACCCATCCGCCCATCCGTGTCCACATGCTGCTGCCCACCCGCATCCGAGTGTGGTTTGAGTCAAGTCAAAACGCACTGCCTCTCCACCCATCTACCCACCCACGTCCACATGCTGCTGCCCACCCCCATCCGAGAGTGCTTTAAGTCGCCTCAAAACACATTCCTCTCTCCCGTCTCATGTGTGCGTCTCACCTCCATCTCTCCCCTGAGAAGAAGCTGGCTCCACTGCCCCTCGACCCATCCGCCCATCCATGTCCACGTGCTGCTGCCCACCCGCATCCGAGTGTGTTTTGAGTCCAGTCAAAACGCATTCCTCTCTCCCACCCCATGTGTGCCTCTCACCTCCATCTTTCCCCTGAGAAGGACCTGACTGCACGGCCTCTCGATCCATCCGCCCATCCATGTCCACGTGCTGCTGCCCACCCGCATCCGCCAACCTTCGCCCCTCCCTCCGCTCCATCCCCTCTCGCCCGCCCTGCCCCCTCTCCCTCTCCTCCCGCAGCCAGCTTGCCAGCCCGCCTGGCAGCGGGGATCCCTCACTCCCTGCGCCTCCCCCCTCCCCATTCCCCGCTTCTCCTCTCCCCGCGCCTCCTCCCGCTCTCCCTCCCCCTCCCCCGCCTCCTCCCCACCCGCCTGCTGCGCTGATGGCTGCTGCGCGCCCGGGCCCTGTGCTGAGCGCGTGGGCGGGGGAGAGGGCGTGGGGGCGGAGATGGTCCGCGTACAGGCCTGGGGGGAGGGGGAACGGGAAGGGGGAAGACCAGTTTTGAGGCGCCTCAAAAAGTGGGAGCGGGAGAGGGAGTGGGGGCGGAAGTGGTCCGCGTACAGGCCTGGGGGGAGGGGGAGCGGGAAGGGGGACGAGGACGGGATGGAGGAAGCGAGGAAGCGGAAGCGGAAGAGAGAGGGAAGAGGAGGGTCAGTAGGAAGGCACAGCATGCTGAGGGAATTGCATGGGAAGGAAGGTGGGGGCTGGGGGGGTTGACAACGAGGGTAACGGGAATTGCATGCCAAGGCACTCACTCACCATACTCTGCTGGAGAAGCCAACAACGACCTTCCACCACTAGCAGCACCAGTGGCAGCACCAGTGGCAGCAGCACTAGCAGCAGCGCCAGCAGCACCGTCATAACGACCACTTGGTCTCTCTATCCTGGCTGACGTCACCTCCTCCCCAGCCTCCTCCCTCCCTTCCCTCCTCCAAAATCTCCTCCCCCTAACCTCCGCCTTCCCCTTCCCCTTCTCCGCACCCTCTTCCATCCATATCCCCCCTTCGCCTCGCTCCCCCCGCCCCCCTTCCCCCTGTATCCGCGGCCCAACACCCGACAGCGCCCCTGATAGCTCCTTCTGCGGGGAAGATTCCGCCACAGGCGCGCCCATACCGGGCGTTCCTCTAACGAGGGGGCCGCTGGTGCATGAGCGCGCGCCGTGATTGCAGGAGGAGGGCGCGACGTGCTTATAACGGGGGGACGCGCCAGGGCAGGAGGCGAGGGAACGGGCGGAAGAGGCGGAGGAGTAGGGCGCGGACGCCAGGGGCGACCGCTGGGAGGGCCTTGGTGGAGAGCCATGGGGGAAGGCGGACGGGGGGACGGCGGAGTACGGGGCGAGCGGGGAGTGCAAGGCGTGCGGGGAGAATGGGGGGCCATGGGGGGAGAATAGGGGGGCGGAGCACGCGCCAAGAGGGGGGCCTGAGGAGCCGACTACTGACTCCGCGGCGGCGTGCTGCTGCCTGCTTCGGTGGCACCGCCGCTTGTGGTGCACCACCGCTGCTGCCGCCACAGCGCCCCCGGCTAGCAGCACCCACGGGAGCGCGTCTCTGGGTAACTGTGAGCACAAGGGAAGGGCGTAGGGGTTTCAAAAAACAAGGCAATTTTGGAGTTGACTCAAAAGGCTGCTGCCTGCTGTGGTGGCACCGCCGCTTGTGGTGGACCACCGCTGCTGACGCTACAGCGCCCCCGCTAGAAGCATCCAGGGGAGCGCGTCTCTGGGGAGCTGCGAGCACAAGACGAGGGAAGTGGGGTAGGAAGAGTGCGTCATTTCTTGCGTTGAGGAACGTCAAACGCGAGAGAGCGGAGCGGACCTATGCGGAATGGTGTCGCTGCTTACCCTCTCAGAGGGTATGAACCATCCGCGTGGCTTTCGTTGTGACTTTCCTCGTGGGCTTATCCTCACTACTTACCCTAGGAGGCGACGGTTCGCGAGGACGTATGCGACTGAAGTCGTAGTACACCTGCTCCGCTTCTTGCCCCTGCGCCTGCCGCTCTTGCGCCAGCTGCTGCTGCCGCCCGTCCTGCAGCTCCTGCCGCGCCTCCCGTCTCCCGTTTCCCCCCACTTCCCCCCTCCCCATTCCCCCGCCCCCCTGCGCCCTTTCCCTCTCCGCCTCGCGCATTCGTCGCAGCAGCAGCAGCTGCTCCCGCGCGGCCTCCTCCTCCCGCCGCTGCAGCTCCCGCAAAAGCTCGCTTCGGTTCATCCTCGCCCCGAGCCACGTGGACGAATCTGAGGCGTTGATTCTCGACGGCTTTGATGTGGCCTCACAACTAGCGTCGATCTATTCGTGGACCATTTCAGCTAGGTGATTGACAGGATTGATGCCCTGCCCTGGTCAGTTACGTTACATTAGTTTCCCAGCGTCTCAATGTTCCTATCATTCCGCCGCTAGCTGCTAGTAGAAGAAGGTGTGGCAACAAGAGGCGCCGTTCATTTCCAGAAGGTTATCCTGTTTATCGTGACAAGGGGTGCTGTTGCTTCTTCTTGATTATCCCGACAAGCCTGGAGGCGTATACGTGTCTACGGGTGCCGTCGTCTAGGCGTATACGTCGTCTAGGTCTTTTGAATCGGACTCAAAAATCGTCTCATCTCACAAGAAAAGTTCTCGCGGTGAAGGTTTAGGCGGGAGCAAAATTCTAACGAGCCTTCGCGCAAGCGTTTGCAGGTGCCGCAATGCGGAATGTCGGCATCCGGCGAAATGGACTGAAGCGCGAACGAGGACAAGGGTATCAAATGGGCCTGGCCTTTTTCTGAAGGTTCTGAACAAGTATTGTCAACCAAGCACGCTACTACCTAGACTATCACAAGGTTTTGAACTGTGCCAGAAATTCGCAGCTGATCAAAGAACATGTGATAGGCCGCTCGAGCAACTAAGGTCATAACAAGTCAGAAGGCCCCGAGTTAGGTTTGTGTTTGACGTTAGATATTTCCGTTCCGTTCCGTTCCGTCCGTTGCTTCCAGTTTCATTCGACTTCAAATTCCATCTCAACTGATGCGAGTCGAGACGCGCTTCTCTAAAACCGACTTGGCGCGAAAACTTGAATCCGTTGTACAAGATTTGGAGAGGCTGTTCATACAACGGAAAGTATGCAAATAGGATTTATTATGATGCTAAATAACACTAAAAGTCACCGTAACATGGAGTTTTCACGCGATTGAGAATTCCCTTCACGCGTTTGGTAACTCGCTTCACGCATTTGGTACCTCAACATGGGCACATAGACATGCAAATGGTAACAATATAAAAACTCCCACATCGTTGAGATATGAACTTTTATGATAAGACATTTCTGTAAGCTACAGGAGCCGACTCTACCGAATACGAAGTCGAGGAGTCAAAAGAGTCGAAGCGACATCAGCAACCGTCAGATCGAGACCAATGCAGGCAGAAACATTCGAAGTGAAAATGGTGGGAACAGGTTTGAAACGGGTTCCCGCGCCGCACAGTTTGACTTCGTTGTAATAAGGGAATGAACCCCTTAGAGTACATGGCTAGATAGGACGTTTATTTTTTCCTTTGTATTCATATATACTCGATCAGGCCCTCATTTATCAGCATAAAAGATACTGATTTTGCTAATTTTGAAGCTGTTATTTTCGTTTTTCCTGAAAAAACATCTTGTTGTCAAATATATAATATATGGTATAGGCTGTAGTGAGGTGTCTTCTAGGGGGTACAACTTTTAGGTTTGCATATTTGTACCCCATCCTGTTTCTAGTTGACCCATTTCATTGTGCATGCTTCTTAAGATGGTATCAGTTAGGTTCATTCCTAGCCTAGCCTAGCCCGTGTTCGCGCCCTCCTCGCCCTAGCGCCCTCCGCGCCCTAGATCCCTCCGCGCCCTAGCGCCCTCCGCGCCCTCCGCGCCCTAGATCCCTCCGCGCCCTAGCGCCCTCCGCGCCCTAGATCCCTCAGCGCCCTCCGCGCTCTCGCGCCCTCCGCGCCCTCAGCGCCCTAGCGCCCTCCGCGCCCTCCGCGCCCTAGCCCGTCGCCCCAGCCCGTCACCTAGCCCGTCGCCCCAGCCCGCGCCCCAGCCCGTCACCCCAGCCCGCGCCCCAGCCCGTCGCCCCAGCCCGTGCCCTAGCCCGTCGCCCCAGCCCGCGCCCTAGCCCGTCGCCCCAGCCTGCGCCCTAGCCCGTCGCCCCAGCCCGCGCCCCAGCCCGTCACCCCAGCCCGCGCCCCAGCCCGTCGCCCCAGCCCGCGCCCTAGCCCGTCGCCCCAGCCTGCGCCCTAGCCCGTCGTGTCAGAATCAACTATGCAGGAATGATTGAACTATGAAAGTATTGGGTACAAATATGAAACCCTAAAAGGGGCTGTACCCCATATTGGCTACCCCACTACAGCCTACACATATATAACATGCATATACTTTGACACACCCCCATGGGCAAAGTGGGGGAGAGCAAGTGGTCACAAGACCAGTCAAGAGAAGCAAAGCAAGCTCAGGGTGGATCACAACGTCACCACACACACTGAGCACAAGCAAAGGGCCACAAGGCCAGTTCACATGCAGAGGTATATATGCAACAACATCAGCACAGTGATCTCTACCTAGCAGAGCAAGCATGCAAGTATATATATAGATCACAGTACAAGTAAAGTCTACAGCAAGTGAGGAAACGTAGGCACAAGGCCTAACAGAGTACAGAAACGCTGATGATCACCAGACGGAAGCGCCTTGGTGAATATATCAGCAGTGTTGGCCCGAGTGGCCACGTGAGCAAGACGAAGCTGACCACGCTGCTGCAACTCTCGAGCCAGGAAGTAACGCAGAGCGACGTGCTTCGTTCTGTGCTCCATTCTGTGCTCCTGACACAAGGCAATGGCGGCCTTGTTGTCGACGTACAGCACTGGAGGAGAACGAGGCCGCTCTCCCAAGTCGGTGCAGGTAGGTGAGCCAGCGTAACTCCTGTGCAGCCATGGCTGTGGCGTAGATCTCAGCCTCACAACTGGAGCTGAGAACTGAAGACGAGCGTGTAGAATGCCAAGACACCGAACCAGAGCCAAGGCTGAAGGTGTAACCCTGTGACGACCGCTGCGTAGCCTGGTCGTCAACCCAAGAAGCGTCCGAGTGCCCAGTGAGGACAACGTCGCCCCGTCCTCCAAGCACGAGCCCCATGCCCGATGTACTGCACAAGTAGCGCAGTACCCTCTTAGCAGCATCCATGTGCACCTTTCGGTGCCGACCAGGAGCCACGTAGCGAGCCAGAAGGCCAAGAGGGTACGCAAGGTCAGGACGAGTGCAGGTCATCAGGTACATGAGGCAGCCCACTAGCTCTGGGTAAGGACCATTCGGCTCTACGGACTCGTCCGAAGGTGGAGCTGAGAGCGAGTGACCTGTAGCCAGAGGAGTGGCCTGTGCCGAGGACCAGGTGAAGCCGAAGCGCTGAAGGACCTGCTGCACCATGTGTGACTGAGTCAGTGTGATGGTGCGGCGTGCTCTGTCCCGGGTGATCTGCAAGCCAAGGTAGCTGCGCAGCTCACCCAGGTCTGTGCACGTGTGTCTCTTCTGCAGCTCCGACTTCACCAGGGCGAGAGCCTCAGTGTCAGTAGTGGCAAAGACCAAGTCGTCGACGTACACGAGGATGTAGAACGGCGGCAGCGAAGTGTCGGTGCGCAGAAACAGCGACGGGTCAGCAGTCGACGGAGCAAACCCAAGAGCCGCAACTGTCGTCCTCAGTGTGTCGTGCCACTCACGTGGCGCATGGCGGAGACCGTAGACCGGCCGCCGGAGGCTCCACTGGGTACCAGGAGGGAACGACCCAGTGAAGCCAGGTGGGCGGCGCAGCCAGATCTCCTCGTGCAGGCTGCCCTGTAAGAAGGCTGTGCTGAAGTCAAGAGAGTGAAGCTCGTAGTCACGCTGAGCAGCAACGTGCAGCAGCACCCGAAGAGTGGTCATCTTCGGGGTGGAGGAGAAGGTTTGGAAGAAGTCTACTCCCTGTCGCTGACTGAAGCCTCGTGCAACGTAACGCGCCTTGAAGACAGGCGGAGAACGTGGCGACCGCTTCACCCTGAAAATCCACATGCCACTGACGATGTTCGCCCCAGGTGGGGGAACCTCGTCGACGTAAGTGCCTGTGGACATCCAGGGTGCCATCTCTGCGTCCATGGCTGTCTGCCACTGAGAGGAGTACTCACCCGCGATCGCCTCAGCGTAAGAGCGCGGGGTCGGGATGTCTGGAGCATCCGGGTGTTGAGTGATGCTACCATTCGCATTCACGTCTGTCTGCCTCCCATCATATGTTCGTGCGTTGCATGCGTGTTGTGAGTGTGTGCAAGAATTTGTGTTTTGTGCGGTTTGGTTTTTCTGAGTGTGTGTGTGAATGTTATTTGGCTTGAGCAGATATCTGAAGTGACTCCTCTGCTCAAGAGCTTTCCGAGGAACCAAGTATCGCTTCAATCGGAGCACGAACTAGAAAGTTACGAACGTTGGAGTTCGTATGCTTTTGATATTTGGTTGTGGTGACTATGGGAAGTTGTGGGGTTGACTCAATATGGGGTACAGACTTTTGGGGGTTGGGAAATTCGTCTTTTCTACTGTAGTTGCTGCCAAATGGTTGGGAGAAACCAAACCAGGTTGGCAAGTGTGGCCAAGTTGGGTTGAGGTGGATTGTGGAGGTTGGGATAGTGACAAAGGTCAAAGTTGGGTTGCCTATGGGGAAGGGAATTGTATGGCATGGGGTTTCCTTGGTTGGGGACTCTCTTGGGACCTTCCCTCTCGTCCTCCTTATCCCTTCCACCTGGTTTAGTGCTACTCTAATTCTCTTGTGTGAACTTGTGTGAACTTTGTGATTGAGTTAAGTTCTTATGGCAGCATACCCCCCTGTGCGCCGAAATTGATAAGTCGAGATTTACTTCACCTCTTGATACGTTTTAACTTGGGAATTGTAGCCACGGAGTAGGGCTACAACATATATGAGTTTAGTGAAGTTTTGACAGTGCACTTTTCGTCGACGGCGTTTCTTGTGAACTCGACTTTTCTGTTCAGAAACTAGGCCCAACGATGTTGAGATATTTTGGCTCCTAATCTTCATAGACTCCGTCCTTAGTCTCTAACAAGTGGTATCAGAGCTGATTAAGGACTTTGTGGAGAGTCTACTGAAGTGTGAAGACCCTCCTAGACCCACCATGGCCTGTGGGCGTGCCTAAGTGGAGTTCTGGAGGTTGGATGTGACTTCCGCTAAGGGGAAACTCTGCCCAAA